CATGGGTTTTTTTTTTCTAACCCCAATAGTAGGCATGAGTGTTGCTCCCAAACACCAGCTGGCAAGGTGCGAGATGCTGTCTGGCAGCTGAGTGCTCCCGCTCGTGCACGGGCTGCGTCGGCTGTGTGAAGCGTGAGGAAAATCCTACATAAAACTCCGTCAATCTTGGAAGCACCCTGTTTATATTCTCTTCGTGTTGTCTCATTAGCGCAGAAACTTGCTTTCGCGTGAGCATTGCCACCAAAATAGTTGCCTAATATAATTAAAGCTCCTGGCTCTTTAAATTTGATGGGTGATAAAAAAAGGCGTCATGTCTTCATGAATTAAAAGCTTGCACGGTTGCACAGTCTCATTCAATCTGTCTCCTCACTCCCTTCAGAAACACTGCGGTGGTCCACAAGGCTTTGGACGCACGTCAACGAAGCATTCGCCCCCGGCGGCACATCCTGCAGGCTTTGTAACCGCTGTGCTGGCCCTAATGTTTTATGCAGCCCGGGTCCAGAAGAAACTCTGTAGGGGAAGTCTGCAGGATTTAGATGGAGTTACTGACCTCGAGTGCAGTCGCTCTGAAGTTATTGACAGTTCGTTCCCGTGAACGCTGCTGTGCAGACACGCTAAATTATTTTCTTTCTTCCAAAAAGTCAATGTGCTGTTACAAAATTTACTCGGCGTTCCACCATGTACCGTAATTTTGCCGTGATATTCCCAGTGAAATATTACTGTTTATGTCTGTGTAATAAGAATGGAAAGAAAATATGCTTTTCTTAAGAAGACATGGATGCAAATCCTATTTAGGATGGGTTTCATGTTTGCAGCACTGGGAGGTTTGGCACTGATGGAAATCATGTGTGTAGTTAGTTGTTTTACGCACTGCGAGTCTCAGATGACTGGGATTATGTTCTTCCAATATAACAAGGTTATCCATTTAATAAGTGGAGAGAGATGAGTCGGAGCACAACCCTAGATCCCAGCTCTCATGAATTTAACAAGTAAGGACAGTCTGAATCTGACCTTTCCACTCTGAAAAGACAATCCTTACTGAACAGCACATGCAATTAAAATTTTTCATCCTCTTCAAATTTTGACTAGTAGAATCGGAGCAAACAACCTTATCAGTGTGACACTGGACCTTTCATTTGAGATGCTGTTAAATCTAGATTTAATTTTTACTGCTCTAAGAAAAGAAGATACTGAGAGGGTGTAAATTACACTTAAAGGGTCAGGCCATTTTTTACTGCACAGTAATGCAGTAATGCCTGAGGGAGCCTGGCATTCACTGAAATCTGATTCAGCAGTTGTCTTAATCAGCTACTAAATGCGCATGTTGTCTGTGCAAAAGGAAGGGGGGGTCACTTCAGCCATCAGGGTGGATCTGGGTAACCTCTACTGGAGGTCACGGGTACTCCTTGCGTTTACAGTGTGCCATATCTCTGTGCACAGGCAACAGGACAAGCTGCTAAATCGGCAAGGACAGTTGTCATCACTGGTATTCCAGATGGCCTTCTGCACAATGATGTCATGACTGACATACTGATGATTCACTTCCAAATGTCGAAGAATAACGGGGGAGATGTGGAAGAAGTAACGTATCCAACAGTGAGAAAAGGCGTTGCATATGTAACTTTTGAAGATCAAGAAGGTATTTAGATTAACATGCTAAATACAGCCATCCCCCAAAGAATTAGTCCTAGAATGTTAATCCTAAACCCTAACCTAAATCCTGGTACTAGGATTGTACAGTACTGGGAGACTAACACCTCTCTTTTAGTCAGACAAAGTTTTAGGGTTTTATTTCCGTTCGGTGAAGACATGATTCTGAACAGGCTTTGTGCAAATCATTTGTTATGTTTGTTTTTAGGAATAAGTTTATACCATGCATAACAGATATGGTTTTTGTAGTCAGGCCTTTGAGATTAAATCTCTGCCAATTAATGTTATTAGAAGACAGGCTTCTGTCTCTCTGAACAATTTTGACTAATACATAAAATACTAGGCAAGAGTATTGAATCACCTGCGTGTGTGTACGGGAAATTGTTAGGGAAAGCATCAAGAGAAAATCACCTGTGAAGCGTTCCGCCCTCAGACCAGCAATGGCGCATTATCTTACTGTGCAGCAAGTGAATCTGGCTTTCTCTTTAGTTGTAGAGCGTGTTCTAAAGAAGGATGAACATCGACTAGAAGACAAGAGGTTGTCCAGATACTATCCGCTGAACGTAACCCGTTACTGTGAAAATGTAAGCTCATTCATAATAAAAGGACCTGGGGGTGCTGGTCGACAGCCGGCTGAACATGAGCCGGCAGTGTGCCCAGGCGGCCAAGAAGGCCAAGGGCATCCTGGCCTGTATCAGAAATGGTGTGGCCAGCAGGAGCAGGGAAGTGATCGTGCCCCTGTACTCGGCCCTGGTGAGGCCGCACCTCGAACACTGTGTTCAGTTTTGGGCCACTCACTACAAGAAGGATGTTGAGATGTTGGAGCGTGTCCAGAGAAGGGCAACGAGGCTGGTGAGGGGTCTGGAGAACAAGTCTGATGAGGAGCGGCTGAGGGAACTGGGGTTGTTCAGCCTGGAGAAAAGGAGGCTGAGGGGAGACCTCATTGCTCTCTACAACTACCTGAAAGGAGGCTGTAGCGAGGTGGGGGTCGGTCTCTTCTCCCAAGTAACTGGCGAAAGGACGAGAGGAAATGGCCTCAAGTTGTGCCAGGGGAGGTTTAGATCGGATGTGAGGAAAAATGTCTTTACTGAAAGAGTGGTTAAACATTGGACCAGGCTGCCCAGGGAAGTGGTGGAGTCACCATCCCTGGAAGTATTTAAAAGACGGGTAGATGAGGCGCTGAGGGACATGGTTTAGTGGGCATGGGGGTGTTGGGTTGACGGTTGGACTCGATGATCTTAGAGGTCTTTTCCAACCTTAATGATTCTATGATTCTATAATTTATCTAGTTGTACTTCCATTGCTATGTTAACCATTACTTAACTTCTCTAATTCAAATCTCTAGGTCTTCAGCTCTGTCACATCTGTCCTCAATATGTCTATTTTCAAAGATCAGTTTGTTTTAGAAGATCTGATAGAAGAATTTAAAAAGAAGAGCACAGCTTTGAGCTTTGGTCCTTTGCAATCCAACGGGCATATTTCTGTTCAAGGCTCATTTCCAGCAATCGAACTGCTGAGAGACTTTCTCTTACTAAAAGCAAAATGCCTTTCAGAGAAGGACAAAAGAGAAGAAAGTAGGTCCCATCAGAGACCAAAGAGGAGGCAACAGCAACACAGCCTTACCACGGGGACGAGTAATTTCATTCGTGATGCAGGTGGGGAAAAACAAGTGGTTGTTCTTGACACAGATATATATCACTACATGAAGTACTTTTTTCCCAGGACATTCCTAGTAAATGATGACGTTGTAATTTCTGACATCACTGATGGTGATATAACTATGGTATATATTGAAAATGCTGGAAGTAGGTCTGATGCTGGACAGGTATTGCGAGTCAAAGAGAAAATCGAAAATCAGTCTATGAAACTCCATAATGCTTTACGTAAAGAAAGGATCTACTTCAAAGAGCACGTCAGAGATGAAAAGCGGAGGTACAAATGGGTGTGTGAAAGTCTAAAACCCCATTACCCTTCTGTTTTGGTCATTCCCTATGATACTCACATTGATGTTATAGGAAATTCTTCTGAGACACTTGAATTTACGAAGGATGTGAGCAGTAAGATTCAGAGCCTGTTTCAAACCAGGTAGAAAGTTAGCGTTCGTGGTGTTTACACATTGTGCTTCTCATACAGACTGTACTGGTGCAACCTGTGCACCTCTGTGTCACTGCAGATCTGTCACATGCCTCCCACTCGCAGGCTGGGAAGTCTGCACATCAGGGTGAACAAGCCCATTCCCCCCAAATACCAAATTAAGTTCAGAACAGGAAAGAAATGATCTCTGTATCTCTTGTGAGCTCAGGGACCTGAGAAGTTAGGCCTCCTCTGTCAGACACAGCCGCCTTTTTCCTTTTGTTAGCTGTGTTCTGGGCACATGCACACTCGTTCTGTCTTGCTGTCAGGATATGATGAGAAAAGAGGGGTTTTTTAAAGAGTTCTCATTAGCGTAGGAAGCCAGACTGACAAAGCTGAGCAAGCCAACCTGATATGAAATACTGCGTGGAAGTTGAGTTACGTTTCTTTGTGCAAGGAGATGACCACTGAAAACAGGAATGGTGGCCTTTTTCTGATGCCTTTATCTGCAGAAGGAAGTCCTCGTCTTTGAGATGAAGAAAGAAGGTAGAGCTTTGATACTTGAGGGGACAGAATGCTTATTAAATTTACAGGCTTGTCATGTCCTGAGAAAGACATTAGAAGATGGCATTGGAGGCTCTCGACAGTAGAAAATAAGTGAGTTTGTTTTCATAGGAGCAGTAACGTTTTTTTTCCCCAGCTGTAACGGCATCTGCAGCATCCCTTGCCAATGTGTTATTTAGACATGAAAGTATATCCAGAGTTTTGATGTGAAAATCTTGGGGCATCTAGATGTTTGAATCAGCTTCTGTTTATGCAAATCCGTTTCTATATCCATTACAAGAGTGCAAATGCCTATCCTAGTTTAGGCTTTTTAAAAAACCAGTTTAGAAATTTTTTTTTTTTGTGGTATCAGTGTGTTCAGAATTCTCTGTCAAAACATACAGAGCACTGGCTCTTTTGTCTTATGTGCAGGAAAAGATTTAAGTTTTTATGCCATTAAAGAAATTAGTTATACAAAATATCGTGTCCATGTTCTTTTAATGAACCTCCAGACTTCTGGTTGGAAGCCCAAACCTAAAGCCTAAGAAATGCTTTAGGCATTTTCTTGTCATACTGATTATCCATTGCAATTACGCCAATGAAAGATAAAAGTTGTTAAACTAGTGCCGACGCTGTGTATTGAAACACACTGTCAAAGTGGGAAGAGGATGAGCTTAAGTACTTTGGTGAATTGGAGGGGGGGGAGTAGTATTTAAAGGCTTAATCTCTTCCAAGTTCCCCTGTCGCCAGTAGGTTCACCAGGGGGGTCAGAGATGGGGCTGAACGCGGGTGCCCAGAGTCCGGCCCCGGAGGAGCCCCTCTTTCGCTCCCCGTGGGGCGCAGGCAGCCCTCCAGCGCTGGGCTCTTTTGGGTACTCCCCACAGAGCTTAAGCAAAGATGGGAAGCTTTTCAACCTTGTAAAAGGGAAAATCCTCTGTGAAGGATAATCCTTTAATGAAATTAGTGCTCTTTACTAGCGTCCGGATTGGTCTTCCCTTCTCTTTTCTGAAGAGCCTCATTTTTTTCTGATTCATAGCGTTAGTATTTCCTTTCATTTCAATAAATGTTAAGGGCTAGGCAAGTAAACTAGTGGCACTGGTGTCAGTTTGAATCCTGACTGGTTACTACTGGCTGAGCATCGCTTTTTGAGTCAAGTTCGACAACAGAACAGTTGGCAGCACCGGTACAGGTGTCATTCAGGTCTTGTTGCCTGGCGAGCAAGTCGTTTTTACTGAACGGTGTTCAGTCGAAACCTGAAAATCTTGAAAACATCACAGTTGAATAAAATTTTATTGTTGAATCCTGCTTCAGTTGTAACAGCTCCTCTTCAGATTCACTCGTCAAACGCCCCTTTGCCACCACATCTTTGGCGGTGCTGGGCTGCCGAGTGCTGGGGCCCTTTCTCACCCGCCAGCCAGCATTGTCTCATTGTTTCCTGGTGCTCTCCCATCTGCTGTCTCTGGTCTCATACCGAGGATGCCATTTCTTTAGACAAAAAGAGCTTTGTGTTGGTTGTTTTGTGTTTATGGAGTGCCTAGTAAATAGGGATCTGGATCGGGGGTAGATTAGTAAATAGTAGCTATTGTTACGCTCCAGGCTTTCTGGGGCTAGTTTTTCATGTCGGGTTTGCAGCAGCATTGGGCAGGAACACCCCACCTTTGTCACCTTTGATGGTTCCTTGTAGCTGTGCAAGGGCAGGGCAGCAGAGGGTCTTTACTAGCGGTAGCGGAGAGGCTGTGGCATGTACGGCCTGTGGTCGACTGAGCTACTCTTAACCCCACGGAGGAACCTGCTTTCTGTAGCAGGAAAAAAAGCTGTGATCCACCAGGATAGACTAGTGTTTGCTGTAAAATATAAACGGCATTTCAGGAGAATAACATCATAAGTGAAACACGTATTTGTTCCTTCCTTCACGATGCAGATACCCTGGAAAACAATAGATGTTCAGCAAAAAAAGAAAGTCCGATTTTGTCATTACCATGAATACTTAAACAAATACAACAAAACAAATCAGTATTAGGTCTGGTAAGAGACTTGCCAGCTCTTGTTCTCACAGTTATTTTTATGGCAAGCAAAGCACTGCTGTATCTATTAAACTCCACTTCACAAAGGCATTTAGTATTTGTGTATATTGGAAAATATCCGGGAAACCATGTCAGATGTTATTCCTAGATCTAAACCAGTGGTGCTGACTCAGTATTCTCAGCATCGAGTTTGCACTTTTAATTTGAATAGAGAATTTGCTCATGGGGCCTCAACAAAATATTTGTCCTTATTGCTGTGCCGACGCTTGCTGCCCTTCACCAGAAGGGAATCCATAACAGTTCACGTTGTAAAAATACAAAGCCTAATTTTGACTTAAGGCACAACTCCTACTGACAAAGCCTAAAAAATAAAAAATAAAAAAAAGGTCACAAATAGCAGCAGAATCTGAGCCCGGTCCCAGTCAGTGGGGTAAACACCATTTTCTGTCGCCTGAAAACCTGAGGATTCGAGAGACAATTTGACGGCCCTTAGCAGGAAAATATTCTACAGCTTGGAGGCAAAAGCAATCTCCTTGTTGACCGGAGGGGATGGGGGAGGCGGACGGAGGAAGAATGATTTACTGGAGTCCTTTCGCCATCACTGGCACAAAGCGCTGCTCTGGCAAAGGGAGGACAAAGCCTCCTTTACTCCCCATTGTACCTGTGCATCTAATTATGCAATGTAAAAGATGTATTCAACCCCTGCAGGAAGGAGGTTGTTCCATTAGGAAGAAAGCCCTTCCTGCAGGTTTAATTGTTGTCATCAAAACTGCCTCTGCCACCTTTGAGTTGCGTTGAAATTTTCTCCCTGCGTTTGTTAAAAAAGCACGTACCTGTCACGTCTCCCGAAAGATTGCAATGCCCGAGCGACATTTTCTTAAGGAAGAAGTACTTGCTACTTTTGGGAGCCGTGTGTCTTACTTTAAAAAAAAAAAAACACAAAAGGATGTGTAGGAAAAATAAATAGCATTACTAGCAAATAGCTCATTCTTTTAAGACAACTTTTAGGCTCAATTCTGCATCCGGCCACACTGGAGACTCTGAACCGTAAAACCCAGATGAAAACAGAGAATAGTCATCAGCCGGGGGTGAGCTCAGGGTGGCCGGTGAGTCAGCACCTGCAGCCCGCTGGGGTCGGATGGGGACGTACTCCCACCAGGAGAGAGGAGATGAATTTAGCAGTCTCTGCATCCGGAGGAGCTGAGGCTCTCGCTTGGCTCCGGTTCGGCTCTCGGGAGGCTCCCATAAACAAACACACACGTTCCTGTTTGTTGCACAACTTGTGCAAGAGAAAAGCAGCTGTAGAGCAGGGCCAGGCTAACGCTGGGGAAATTCCTTCTCCATTGCACATTTCTGTGGTGACTTCTTCCCTCGCATGTAGTGTGGCTGGTGGGTGTTTACGGGATACGTGGCTTCTATCCAATTTAACTCAAAATAACTCATTTCTTGTCCTTTGGGCTTCTACCCTTCAGTCTGCCGCAGTTACTGATAAAAGGACCTTTTCCATCCCTCTCTTTTAAGCTAAGAGTGTAGTGAAATCACATGTAGATACTTTACCATTTTCACCTACCGTTGGAGGATGGGACTCTTCCCTGATTTCTGCAGCAGGCTCCCTGAAGATAACCAGACAACTCGGCTAAGAGAAAAAAAATAATGATTAATTTTAATGATTTTAAAAAACCCAACAACAACAACAGGAAAAACCGAGTCAAAACTGCACAACAATTCAGAATTGACAGAGCCCAGTCTGGTTGTACTTACTTTTTCCTTAGCTATAGAGAGTTGCAGAACATCTGCTGGAAAACAAGTCCCTTTTTCTGCTCTGCCTAACACAGCTTTCCTTTGTCTCCTGACACCCATTAATGACCTTTAAAGAAATCTCCTAAAAGTAACTCAGTTAAGAAGAAATACTATCTCTAATGGCAGCAGCCACTGCTGCTGGAGCATTGCATTAAAGCCATTTTTCAGGTGGATTTCCCCACTCGTTACCGCTACTACCTTGGTAATAGGAGCAGTACGGATCAGGACCGGCGGCACAGGGTACTTTACCAAAAAAACCGCTGTATAAAATACTGGAAAAATGAAGTTCTATCATCTTTGTACAGGTGAAATCATTTCATACCCCTTAAATTTCTGAGACTGTGGAGGAGGAAAGGCATCGCATGCTGCGTGCGGTATGTACAGATGGCAGTGCTGTCGCTTGGACTGAGTCGCGCAGAAGAAGGGTGGATTTTCTCCAAGGTAGAAGCCGTGGCTGACAGTCACAACTCATCCCTGATCATGCTATAAGCGGCAGGCTGCACGTAGTGCATATGGAGCTGCACACCCTGTTCCCTAGCCGTGCTCCAGGAACAGCTTGATATTTCCTGGGAAGCTCAAGGGTACCAGAATACGGAGATGGTCCATATCGGGTCAGGTCTTGACTAACAGCTGCTGATGTGATCTGCTCCTCAGGCTGGACACTAGGAGATGAGCAGGGGCCACCTCTCCCAGCGGGTCCCACCGGCCGGACTTTGTCCCATCTGACATCTCCTGCCATAAACACGGGGAGCACAAGAGGGAGCCAGATGCTTTGGAGCTGAAATCCCAAAGCCTCTACTGGGGTCCTGCCCGGCTGGACCCGGCGGAAGGAGGAGATGCCAGAAGCAGGGCCTGCTCTGTCCCTTAGCTGGTGGAAGCGCAACTCGGGTCACGTTTGCCTGGAGCAGATGCTGGGAGTGGACCCTTCCAGTCTTTCATCGCTCACGAGGTGCTCTTACATCACCTTCTTTCAAGGTTATATAAAAACGGGTCAGGAAATCGAGCACTTGATTTCACACTGAAATTGTGGATGGCTAAGATGACCAGAAGCCCGAGCACTGCTGTAGTTACTCCCTCGTTAAACATCATGACTTCAGCCCGCAGAGCCCTGAACCAGGCGAGCACAACGTGGCACCGTGCAGGGCAGATCACCTTGGCGCGCGCGCGAGCTGTGGGGGATGACCACCTCGTTACCACTATGTTGAGACAGAAGGGAGTTCCCAGAAGGAAGAGCAGGCGAAAGCCAGCAGTTCTGCTCTCCGGGAGCGATGCTCCCCGCTAACCCCCATCCCTCGGAGGTGAGGACCTGCCAAGCTGCGCTTGGGTCCCAGCTTACCTGCACTGCTCTCTGGCTCCTGGTCTCCTCCAGATCCCACAAAGTACAAGGGCTTTGGAGGAGAGACGCCACCAGCTCGAAGACACCCACCGCTGCATTCAGGCATTTAACCCTTCCTGCACATAAGAATAACCCATCCCACCTCCTCTTGGCGTGGCTGGCACTGAAGTCGGCGGGCAGTGCTGCTACGTACCTGTGGGTTTGACTTTCAGTTAAGACACACTTTAAAAACAAAACAAAACAACCCTCCCCCCCCAAACCCCTTCCATTTTGGCATGGATTCTGACAAGTTTGTCCCAGTAGTAGCATAATA